CTCTCTCTCTCTCTCTCTCTCTCTCTCTCTCTTTCTCTCTCTCTCTCTCTCTCTCTCTCTCTCTCTCTCTCTCTCTCTCTCTCTCTCTCTCTCTCTCTCTTCATGGGATATCTTTGTTGCTACTTTTTTCTCTCATACACTTCTCCTAGCCACCCTGTGTGTGTGGCACACACAGAGAGAGCGAGAGTGAGAGAGAGAGAGAGAGAGAGAGAGAAAAAGAGGTGTTGGTGGCAAGTGCTTTTGACATAGGAGGGAAATGTAATGGCTTGCCTCGGGAGGGTCTTCAAACTGGCTGACGTATCTTCTTTGACTGTATGAGATGTACTATCATCCGGAACTATGATCATTCTTTGACATTCAAGTCAGTTCAGCAGAAATTAGGATCATGTTTATCCTTACCATTTCTTTAAACAATTTATGATTTGATGGTTTCATTTTATTTTTTTCTAAGACTCGGCCATGGTCTACTAGTGTTATGATTTCACTGTTTTTTTTGTATATTTAAAACTTTTTTTCCAGATATAATTCTTCCCCTAACGATCGTAATTTCCAGAGTGATAAGGATCATCTTTTTTAGTGTTAGTATTTACCCTAGAGTGTATGAAGCATTTGGCCATTCGGTTCTTTCCTTTTGATATATATATATGGGGCTGTCTCTTATACACATCTAGATGTGTATAAGAGACAGATATATATATATTTTTAAATATAAGGGTTCACCCTCCTGATGAATCTGTGAAACTCCGACAAACGGCCACTTTTTCACAGCCCCTCGTTTGTTGTCCTCTTCTCCCTCTCTGCCTACGGTTCACCGGCCATTCTGTTTGACGATATACTCAAGGGTTCAGCCTCCTGATGAGTCGGTGAAACTCCGATGAAACACAGCCCCTCATTTGTTGTCCTCTTCTCGCTCTCTGCCTACGGTTCAGCCTCCTGATGAGTCGGTGAAACTCCAACGGAACAGCTTGTCACAGCCCCTCGTTTGTTGTCCTCTTCTCCCTCTCTGCCTACGGTTTACCGTCGGCAGCTCTGCTTGACGATACACTCGAGAGCAGGTGAGTGGTTTAATCCTCCATCCCACATCTCTGCCTGCATTGTGCATGAACCTGGCCATAATATTGGTCATTGTACATGCCTCTGAGCACTGGGAACTGTGGGACAACGGCACCATGGTCCATGCCATGACTGATGTCACTGGTTTCTTACAAAATGATGCTGTTTTCTTGGTCAAATATATTCTGACAGTAATCTGGGATTTTCTTTCTTTTCGGTTTTTCTCGTTTTCGGAATAACAGTTTTAAACCACCACTACCTTTCAGAGGCTGGTTTTTTTACTTTATTTTTTTAATTCTCTACGATATAGTGTTTATGTTGAACGTTTGTTTCGTGTACTTGGTCTTTCATGTTTTTTTTTTTTGTTTTTTTTTTTTTTGGGGGGGGGGGGGGGATATAACTTTTCGTAGAAGATTTGTAAGCATCGATGCTCTACCATGTTTTTTTTTTTTTTTTTTTCTCTACGATATAATGTTTATGGTTCAATTCTCTACAGTGGACTTTTTTTTTCTTTTTTTTTCTCTACAATATAGTGTTTATAACTTTATATGAACCCTTGTTTCTTTTTCTTGGTCTTTCGGCTTTTTAGAAGTTTTTTTTTAATCTTCTTCTTTTGGGGATTAGACGTTTTTATCAATGCTCTACCATTTTGTTGTCCCCCTTCCCCCAACCGAAATTTTTCTACAATATTGTGTTTATTTTAGGCCTTTTTTCTGACAATGTTGTCTTATTCGTTTTGTTCGGCCTGCGTGAACGAGGACTCGACACTGTGCCTATGGTGTGTACCCAAAACAAAATGCTGCTTTGCTTTTTCACATCTCCTGTTTGTATACATGACCCGACATAATCATGCTGGGTGGATAGAGAACTAACCAGACAAAACCACCTATAAAAGTCTAAACTTATAATCCTGTGACCAACCACCGCTCTCTCTCTCTCTCTCTCTCTCTCTCTCTCTCTCTCTCTCTCTCTCTCTCTCTCTCTCTC